TTCTGAGAATCAAGTTGGCTTTTATGTTATCTCAGAAACTGTAGCAAACCATACTAGCTTATAGTCAGTTCTTAGTTTCTTTTGCCTTTTTTGCCTGCTCTTTTTGCCTTCTATTTAAAAAACCTGAAGGACTTAGCCAAGCGTGGTCTGTTTGGGACAGTTATGTTCAATATAAATTTTAAAACGTATAAAGATATGTTTAAAATTAGAAATACTGTACAATGTTTTTCTGTTGCAGACTCTGCAAGTACTGTCCTTTGCTGTAGATGAGCTGAGTCTTGTTACAGTTGAGATAGTCTGTCCATCCTTAGACAACACTGGAATATTCATTCTGGCCAGTTGTTCATATTTGGCCTGGAATGATCCTGTGACCCACGTATTTCCACTTCTTACTTGGTTCTGATATTTTGGAGCTATGCAAAGTTTCCCTGCTACCTCCTCCAAGTAGTTTTCTGACAATTTGAAAAGCAGGCTGTCTGAAGGCATTGGGGCAGGCTGTCACAGTGCAAACACGAAGAGTAGCTACTAAATTTGGGTATTACACATACAGAAATTGAGTCAGTAATACTGTGTTGAGCCCAATCCTTCCTGCTTAGTGAGATGAACCGTAAAAAACAGCAGTAGGATTTGGGGATCAGCACTAGGCACAGAGAGCGCTGGGTTTTTTTCCTTCTTGTCCTGAGATATTGCAACTATTGGCTTTCACTGCAGAGTTTTCTTACACGTGAGCAGGACTGTACCAAGAAGAATACATCAAAAGTTAGCCCCAGGGTCTGTTCCCAGAGCAGAGCTACTGTGAGTTGTGGAGTGGGGGAGCTGGAAGGGACTTCCAGGGGTGGTGATTTAATAAAGCAGTGTATAAAGACTGTCATAGCAATTAGTGAATGGTTTTTCTAGGGAGGGCCCATAATCCAGGTCTTTCATACATTTTATTTTATCAAATAATATTATTTTGGATGCATCTGGGTAAAATATATTGGAACTAGATGATCTCTAACACAAGCCATTCAATGATTCTATGAGTTATTGTAGAATAATTTTCTAATCAGTACTTTAATCTCCTATTTTTATCACTGTTTGTGAACTCGATTCCAGTGAAGTCACTTAACACTGTGATGTGCTGGGGAGCGTCCCTCAAGTTCTTTACTATCTCACTGAGATGCCTAGATATCTACATGCATATTTGCATATTAAAAATATGTATCCAGTTTTCTAGAAACACTTCATTAGACAAATAGTCCAGGAGTAGATCCACTTGTGTTTTTGCTGTACTTTTCAGATGATCATGTTCTGAGTGACTCCCTTGCATTATTCTCCTGCTTGTCAGGCAGTGATTGTGCCTGATTTTTACCGTTTTTAACCACAGCTGCAGTTGTGGTTGCAGTTGTATCAATGATGTCTCAACAAGCAAAGTGTGCAGTGCAGCCATGCCTCAAAGCCCAGGCAAGTATGATGACTTCTAAGCTTAGATCTTAGTGGTTGGAATCTCGCTGAATGAATTGGAAGTCAAAAGGGACCTTAAAGGAGTAGGAAGGGTGGGAAGTATGAGTGAACTGCTGCAGCTTTTACCCATTAATGGTTTTGATGCGGATGGAAAAAACCATCACAGTCATTGTACTGTGATTTGGTTACAATTGGAGGGGAAATGCTTATTTTAATATTTCTGGTGGAGAAAAAAAGCTCATGTCACTTTGAAAAGACCACAAATCTTAACAAAGTGTAAAGGGAGAAAATCGAGTCAGAGATTGCTTACTTAGGCAAGAGTATAGGAGGGAGGGAAGGAATAGTGAAAAGATAGTTTCCACGTAGTGCAATTACCAGAAATGATGTGGTAACTCTTTGAAGCAGCGATTCAATGTATTTTCATCACCCAGTTGTTGCAAATCAGAATTTTTTTCTCTTACCCGTTAGCTTTGTGAGGGTTGTGATTTCATTTCACATGGAAACACAGGAGGATAAAGCTATCGTGTATCTCATCTCTTCACATTAGAAGTTCTGAGGACTGGTATGAAAAGGAATTGACTACGTATGTATGAATTCTTGCCTGGATTCCTACTTTGTTATGTATTTAAGCTGCTTAGTCTTTCTGCCTTTCCTGATTGAGGACTCTAAATAATATATTTCAGCTTTAACAAAAAAACAAAACAAAACAGCACAAAAAGCCAGAACAGCTCACTACCACTTTCTTCTCTGATTTAAGCAGTCTAACTTCCTGTGGATCACCAAAGTACATTAAGCAAGCAGAACACACTGTGCCTGTAGTCTACACAGAATTACAGATGATGCATATCTGTCTTCAGGTTCGGTTCTGGACTTACAAAGAATTCCTGTATGAGCAAATATGACTCATTCAGTCAAATCCAACATATTTTGCTCGACAAGGGAGTGGCTGGATAAAATATTTCTTGCCTGTGACACATGCAAGGTCAAATTGAGGTTGTCTAGTGGTGCCTTCTGACCTTGAATTATTTAAATTGGTACATTGTAGAGGGTCCCCTCCCTACATGCAAGTTCTAGAGAACTTGTTATCTCATAAACTTAGAAGGAAGTATATAAATCTATTAACAGGAGGAATAAGCAGGAAAAGTCGAGGAGCAAACTGTAAGGAAGAAATTAGTCATAAAGATGGAGACAAGTCCCTGCTTCATCTGGACGCTAATCTCTGCACAGAAACTGGATTCTCAATTAATACCAGTTGATCCAATTGCTGTGTTTTTCCATGCTTTTCTAGACCACCAGGGAAGCCTTTCTTCAAGACAAGCTTACTAGAATGCTACCACCTGTGCCTTAATATCTTGGGGTCCTGTATTCATTTGATGTAAGTCTTACATTCTTACCCCTGATTTGATGCTACGTGGAAAATTTGATGAAATGGCAGAGCAAGGATTTCCTTGGTTTTAAAAGAGTGTGTTGCCTGCATGGCATTTCAGAGGTTGTGTGCTGAAACTGAGGTGAAAAATTGTGTGTGGGTGTGTATGTGTATATGTATGGAGAAAGATTGCCTCGTTCTTGCTGACGTCTCTATCCTTCTGTACACAGGGACATGCCCACCAAAAAGTTTGACAAAAAACTAGTAAAGATAAAGGTACTTAAATCTCTGAATCTGGAATTGCTTGAACAGTCAAAGGGCAGTCAAATGGTGTTTGAAAATAGCATCCCTTTACTTTGCATCCTCGGTTTTTTATGTTCTTTCTTTGCTTGTGTATGCTTGTCTTCTCACGATGGAGGTGAGAGGAGGGGTTGCATTTTGTTTGCTTTTGAAGTCTGAAGACTTCTGAAGATCAGCTAAGAGCAGGAGAGGGAATCTCACTGCAAAAACATTCAGTAACATGCTTTATTATTCCAAATTATTTGGAAGCTGTTCCATGTCCAATGGATAATTTGCTTGATGTTCCCAGCTAGAAGATACTGATAAAATAGAGTTGATAGTCAACTATTTTGACCTTTTTATTTCTTTTCTTTTTACCTTGTTCCTTTGCACCTTTGTTGCAAGGGAAAACACCCGAAATTTGAATGTTTAGGTGCTTTAGGGCCTATCAATCTCACAGGAATGTGGACAGATTTTGATGACTTGGAGATTTTTTGATTAGGTAAGATAACAGGAATTTTCCTATTTCTCTTCCAAGTTATATACCTCCATTTCAGAGATCACTTACTTTTGAAGGCTTTCTTGTATGGGACCCCAATGCTGTTTCCACAACAGCTAAGGCCTCAGCTTTCCTTTGGTTTCATTCCTGGATGGATTTCATGCTTATTTTTGGTGTTAGAGCAGAAGTGGTAGCACCAAATTGTAGGTTGATCTGTAAAACTTGATTCAATTGCAAGGAAATACACCCAGGTATGTAATAGACTTTAGACTTTCTAGCCACTGTCTGATTTGCTTTTATATCTGAACATTTCCAACATGAATAGAATTTTGAATCAAAAGATACCGGTTAGGAATAATCCTCTTAACAACATAATGAGCAAATTGTTTATTTTCTTCTAATCTTGTATTTAAATGTATTTAAGTGAATGGAGTTCATTCTTGTTCAAAAAAAAAAAAAAAAAGCTTGGAGGTTTGAGGACTTCAGGTTGTACTTTTGCTTTGCCTAGGTTTCCTGTTCTGTTGCATGACACAACATCTGTTGTGCTGTTGATATGTAGCACTTTTCAGTAGGTCTGTTATATTGTGCAATGCATTTTTTATATTTACGACAAAAACAATAAAGGTTATTTTTTGGAAGAAATTAGTTGTAATGTCTTCATTTTTTTTTACCTGAACTCGACTTGGAAGTGGGGAAATGGGAAGTGGAAGCCTTCCAGGACCAGGACCTTGGCATCCCTTTTGCAACTCTGAACGGTGACAAAGGCTCATTTCAACACTAGCTGTGCTGAAGTGACCCCTTTGGGATCCCTGTATTTGTGTTCCCCTTTGCAAGACTTGTATCTGCTGGTGATCTTTTGAAGCTTGGAGACTTTTTAAGGCTTGTGCCCCTTGGGCCCTTCTTGGCTGTAAGAATTGGCTCACTGATGGGGTTACTTAAAGCACAAACGATTTGTCTTTTCTAATACATTGGTAATCAGGCTGTATTTGCTCTGTGCTGCTTATTCCTTGTCTCACCAAAGCAACAGCCAGATGAACAAAAACTGAAAATTATCCTCTGTAGGTTAGAAGAGCAAGGCTTCAGTACCTCTTCCCCAAATCTGTCTGCAGAGCATACGTTTCTTCACCTTGTAACAGTGAGTCTGTTCTTCCACGTTTTACATGACATTATTCCCCAAATTTATAGAGTGAACAGACACTATCTTGATTGCTGTTGATTATATTAAGTGGAACAGTGAGAATGGGCTCTCATGATAAAATTAAGCAGACAGAAATCTACTTACTTATGTGTCTGCTTTTAACTTAGAGGTTAGTCATTCAAAAGTAGCCTTGGTGTTTCTCTAAGAAAATTAAAACTTAAGTCTGTAGGTACTGTACCAACACCTTGAGCCCTGATGCTCTTATTTTCTTGCAGGATTGGATTTGGGACTCTTGATTGACTTAATGCCTGGACAGTGGACTCTGCTGAGCAGTGCTGAGGTTGGACAACATGGTATTCCCATGGAACTGATGTCAGTGTTAGGCATTAAGCTGCTTAAATCTATGTAAAAACAAAGAAGAGAAATAATATTTCACCATTTCCTTTAAAGTCTGTTTCTTGAGTTGGTGGTTTGTTTTCTTTCCCTGGTAGGATGCTTCAGTTGATTGAGAACAGGGATTTTATTTTAAAATCATTGCTGAAGGCTCGATGCTGGTTAATGTCCCTCTCAGAACTGGTGACTTTGAACTTAATATAGTTTGAGAAATTCTGATGAGTCAAGCCTGTGATTTCAGGAGAATATACTGCAGCTTTCTTACTGGTTTCACATTTACTTTTTTAATATCTCTAAATTGATCTCGCACAAAGCATTTTAGTAGAAGGCAGTGAAGAACAGTGGTGTTTAAGCAGTGAGAAAACCACATTTCAGCCTGACTTCGCTCTTGGCCAAGCATACCAATGCCAGTGGTACTGCAGCGGTGCTATCAGACCTCTGGGAGGAAGCTGTGGCTGGAGAGCACTGTTTCTTTACTACTGATTTTGTGGTGATTTCAGCGAGGCCGCTATTAGAGGTAGCTGATATGCCAAAAGTAATGGTTACTGAAATAGCTGATTTTGCTAATTCTTGAACAGCACGAACAAGTAGACTTATATCTGCTTTAAGCAAATTATTCTGAAAGAAATCACTGCTATGAGGGAGTTGGCACTTCAGTGGGAAAACAGCATAGGTCTCTCTTCACGTGTACTGTAATCCCATGTACTTTCCTAAACATGTCTTGTAATGCATCTCTGGCAAATTTTGTTTTCTCCTAGCACTAGTTGATTGAATCTTGGCAAAAGAAACAGAAGCCAGTGCTCACTAGAATCACAGGACCTTTCCTACAGCTCTTCTTGAACATAAGCTGCTCTTCCTGAAGACTATGTTCATCACCAGGAAGTGTGCAGGCAATGAATACTTGGGTGACAGGCAAGTGTAGGAACACCAGCTCTCTCAGAACAAGGTGTGTGTATCACAAACCCTGAGCATCATTAAAATACAAGCAAACCCACAAAAGGTTGCTCCATCACATCCCTAAGTCCTGCTGCCCGCCCTTTACCCACTTCTTACAAAGTCTGGATGCTGAGAGCAGAAATTGGAGTGCTGTGGAGCTGTCAGTGCTGGGTTGGGTCGCTGTCAGTGGGGGATGGTGAGAGAAGTGATCCTTTTATTTGGGTTTTAAATAGTTGAGTTTCAAGTCAATTTAATGTGTACACGTGCATATATATAAGAATAATGTTAATTTTGAACTGATTCTAACGCTTAGACTTGAAATTTGTGTGGTAATTTGAACTTCAATCAAAACATTATTAACCTCCCCATTATTGCCAATGATTAGGAGTTGATATGACCTAAAGGCAAAACTAGGCTCTGACAAGTCTTGTTGCTCCCAGGGCATCAGAGTGTCCACTGCCAGGAGCAGTCATTGGCTCAGTTTTGGTGCAGTGCTCGTGTCTGAGCTGCCTGCAGCGTGTTTGCATGGGCTCCATGCTTTTCCAGCCCTGCTGCTGCAAACCTACACTGGTATGCAGGAGGCACAGTAATTCAGCCTTCAGCAGTGAGAGCTGAATTTAGCCACTGATGGATCCAAATCTAGGAAACCAATTGGGAGCTTAGGGAGAAAAGCTGCTGTGATCTTCACATCTATCAACAAATAGTGGATGAGGAAGAAGGAGATACACTATTTCTAAAGCTTTTAATGTAATAACCGGAAGCAACTACTTCAGTTTGCTATTTAATAAAACCTTGGGCTTTCAACATTCAAAATGCTGGAAAAAGAAAAGAATTATGTAATGAAGAATTAGCAATATAAGTTTTATTTAATCTCATTTTAATTCGATGCCAGGTTTTATCCAAATATATAGAAAATGAGTAAAACTGTTCACCTAAGTTGTAAGAATCTCGTTCAACCCTTCCAAGCATTAAAGTATAAACATTAAAAATCTGAATAAATATAAACTATAAAAATGCTTAAATAAATTGCTTAAATACAAAAATGTATTCCATGCATTCATAAATTCTCGCCGGTAATGAGAAGTACAGAAGTCTGCTGGTAATCATTTCCTTCTCTTGGAAATAATTGCAAGATAAAAATATAAATAACATTAAAATCACTGAAATCACACTTCCCTGTTTGTTATTAACATAATAACCAGTTAATTAAATCACTCTGGCTTACGTCAGTGCACTCTTTTTACATGATGTTGCAAATATAACAGTATAAATAGTTTTATAATAAATAAAGTCAATAACTTAAGTCACTCATCTTTTAAATATTAAACTAGATCATATAGCTATGAACAGGAAAGCAGTACATTGTTAGCATTGTTCCTGGCATCAAACTGATCGTAAATGGTGGACGGGCACACAGCAAAGCTCTAGGATCCTGCAGGTATTTTGTCATGCTGACATATTAGATTGCTCCTGAACTGTACGTTTTTGTTGTGTTTTGCATAAATTGTTCATATTTCTCCAAAACCCTCCAGATGTACATCTTCTTCTGTGCTGTTCTCATTGCCTGGATGTCGTTCCGAATGCTCAGCAGAAGGTCCTTGTTCTTGCAGCTGTGAAGCGCATCTCTTTCAAGCAGCGTCATGTTCAACTGGATGGTGTTTACGTTCACAAAGGCAGTGAAATTCTTACCACAAATCATTTCTATATCGCTTCTTAGGGTTTCTAAAACATTGTAAAATGTGTGCATGCAGCAGTCTGCTTCCGCAGCTGGGCATGTGGGTATTTTCTTCATCATTTCATTGACTTGGGTGTCAGCAGTTAGCCAGGTTTTGGTTGCTTCTGTTATAGGACTGCATCCATTCTGCAGGGGAGGAAGAGAGACCGTTATTCTTTTGGTTTCCATCTTTCCTGGTAGTTTCCATGTTAGACTATGTAGGAGTATTCAGTTGTGTCTGCTTGAGGTTCTGTTGTTATTGTTCAATAGCTGTATAACACCTACTGTCCTTTAAGTCTTGCACACTATCTGTGACTGTGCAGCACTTTCTATCTTAATAATCTACTTGTCATGGTTTTTGGCACTTCTAAGTCTTTTTGTTGTTGTCATACAGGTAAAATTTTGTCATGCTTTTACAGTGTTTTTATCTGTTTTAGCAGAAAAGGTTTAGATTTCAAGAATGAATTCAGGGGAAGTGTTTTACGCTGATTTTTTATCAGTGCATTCCTAGGAACACGTTCTCAGGAATTGAAACTTGCCTTCAGCACTGATCCTTCGATTCAGTTCTTGTTTTTGCTGTCTCCAAGGAAAGGCTGAGCAGGATTTTTTTCAGAAGTGCACCTGGCTGCCCTAGCATTATGGTCAAACTGAAGAGTAAGGCAGTCCTCTCTGTCTACCCCGTGATCTGAGCACTGACACTGGTTTCATCCACAAAGCTGCCTGCTTCAAGCTCAGTGTGAATTAGGAGATGATGAAAAATGCATGAATCTGGAAGGCGAGAGCTGCCTAACCATCCTAGACAGTGCTCCAACTCGATCGCAAGGTAATGTGATATAAATGCCTTCCTCCTTATATGGGCTATTGGGAGGTGCCTCTTTCAGGTTCTAACCCAAATATTTATTTTAAGCTGGTCTTTCTATTACTATTTTAGAATAATTCAAGGGATTCCTCTGCAGTCATAGGCCTAGAAAATGCAAAATAGTACACTTACGTAGTTTTTGAACAAGGTAGTTGCTCGCTTTTCGAGGACTAGAAGGGGCTTTATGCTGGTAGTATATTGCTTCTGCCTCTGTCCTATAGTAGTTTTCCCTTCTTCTGAGGCAGCTCTTGGTGCCAAGGAGACCAAAGAAGCCAGAGAACAGAAGAGGAAGATCGCAAATGTGATTTCTGCATTCAATTGAAGAGGAAAAAAAAAAAGTACACTGAGTACAGTCTCAAACCTCTACATCATTTTTGCAAAACTCACTGGTTTTGTGCACCACACGAGCGTTCTGGAGCATACGGACTTCAAGCACCAGAGTGAAGGAGGAGCATCACCCATTGTAGCTGTGCAGCAAGGCTAAGTTGCACCCACCTGCTCTGCGTTCCATGGTGGCTCAGGCAGCAGGAGTCTTGTGAGATGCTGGTGTTCAAGCTGCTTGTTGGCTGGAGAGCTGTGGATGGGGACAGCTAGGTGGTGTTTAAGTACCATGACTTTTGCGTCAGTGGTTCTCCTCTGGTTTTTTGCGGATGCTGGTGTGGGTTTTTTTCTTTTCTTGAAAGATTGCATCAAAAGTTGGTTCAAATGCGTCGTCACTGATTGTGATCTAGAATGCAGTTTCGAGCTGACACGGATGGTGTCTTGTATCATCAATTTGACTAGGAGTTCAGGATGCTTGGCTTAACCATCCTGTCTAAATCCTTGGGATCTCCAAACGGTACAATTTAGAGCATGAATTCTGTTGTTTTCTTCCTCCAACGTGATGAAGTGTGCAAGTACACAGCTGGGTTCCTGAAGGCAGCAACAGTCTCCTGCAGGGGCCAGTGCAAGAGTGGGCCAATGCTGGATGCGAAAGAACCACGAGGGACTCGTATGCAAGACAGATCAGGCTTTGGATGAGTGTGCATAACCCTAGCTGGATCTCCGTAACACCTCGTGTACCAGATGTAAGCCCCTGAGGCATGCCAGCAGAGGATGCCCAGGAACCACCTCTCAGCTTTTCGCCTTCTCTCTGACTCTGCTGAGGCTGTTTTCTCTGTGCCCAGTTACTAAAGGCAGGAGAACCTTATATGCAGCAAAACAGAAAGCCTGTTCCTAGAACTCAGAAAGACAAGCCTGTGATCAGAAGAGGAGTTGCAGATCTGCTGATATTTTAGGACAGAAATTGAAGTAGAGGAAACTCTCATAAACGCACCTTTGTGAAAAGGTAGAGTGACAAGCTTTCACTTGTACTACTATGACTAGGGAAGTAGAGAAAAGCTAGAAAGTAGTGAGAGATTCAAAGACAAATGCATGCCAGGTCCAGAAAACTTTCAAGGAGCAACATTTCGGGAGTTAGTGTTTTCTGTGTGCAATTATCCATCTGACAACGAAAGGCCTGACATACATAAGTTCCTATGGTCTCAGGAACTGCTTAGTAGGAATGAACTGATTCCAAAGGCTTGAAAGGGAAAGGCATTTCCCCTGTACCATGTTGTGCTCAGGTCCAACTGGGCTGTAACTTCCGCCTCAGTGGTTGGCCTAAGGCCATGTTACTGAGCTTCACAAAGAAAACAAGGTTCTTTTACTGCTCTCAGCAAGCCTGGGACTGAAGCAGAGGGATGCAGCCAACCCATGGTGTTGAGCTGCTCTGTCTGAGAATGGGACAATGTTTTTGCACAACCTGTGTTCCTGGTGCTAAACAGAACAAACAGAATATGTTATCATGGCCTGAGACGTGATGTACGAGTACCGTAGAGTGCTGGAGAAGAAGCAGGAGAGCACCGTTCCGGCAGAGACTTCTTTTATTTAGAGTTACGTGTTATTTGGAGATACATATTTCTTTGCAGAAGGTTGCCTTTAGGAACATCTCAACAAAGACACCGATGAGTATAGGTGGTTCCTTTCAGGTAGGAGGACTGCATCTTGGAGGGATACTTGTTTGGAAGTGCAGAAATGCAGTTGGTGAGATTCCTCATCTGCACTGCAACAGCAGGAGGCCATCAGGTACTGCCAGTCCCTTCCAGTGGCCCCAGGTGGGTGCCACAGGGAGGATGGATGAGGAACTGCAGCACTCTTCCTCCTGATGCAGCAATTAGTTCTAGAACCAGTTCTAGATTATCCCTGACGCAACTGCAATACAAATAAAGGAAGCTTTCATCTTGGCTTTTCTGCAGAATAAAATTCAGCCACTGGCAACGCTCTTTCAAAGAACTATAGAAAGTTTGACTCATTTTCTACTGGACTGAGGTTTGCCTGGTTATTCTACTTCATGCCATGCCCCAGTCTCATGCACGCTCCGCTTGTCCTTCCCTATCTGTGCAGCTGTGATAAGCTGCTGAGCTGATAAGGGAGCAGATTGATATCCGTCCTGTAAAACCCTGCATGAGTGGAAGTTCAGCTTTCCACCACGTAATTGCCAGGCGCTGCAGAGCATCTGCAATTCATTTGGTGAAATGTTGCTGACATGGGTCTGAACACTCCCCAGAGTGGAATCTGTTGCCGTCACCTGCACACCTATCACTGGAAAAAACAAAGAATCCTCTTGAGTGCAGAGACCTGAATCTGACCTCAGACAGAGCTGGGGCTTTTGTCTCGAGGGGCAGCTGCTTTTTCCAGGCAGTACTTTTAGCCATGAACTCAGTTTTCCGATGACCTTGTGCTGCAGTGGCATCAGTGCCCTCCACACAAACAAATAAGGTGCTTTTACAGCTTGCAGCTCATAGAGAACACGACTGCTTCCTCCCTGAAACTTGAGGGACACTCAGGATATAGATAAGTGAAGTGGCAAATGCCATGTCTCAGGTCCTCGGCCGGGGAACAGGGCGATGCTGCACCCCACGCACGCCTCCTGCTCTTTTCTTGCTTGGCTGCAGCCCCCAGAGCCTGGAAGAGTCCCTCAAAGCCTGGGATTTCTACCCAGCTTGCAGCCCCATAGAGCGCAGTCCGCAGTCCCCAGGACATCCGTGTCTGTGTCATTTCCTAGCGACGGGACGCGTTGCCAAGAGCCAGAGAATTCCTGCATGGCAGCGCCCGGCCCTCACAGCCTCTCGGCTGCTTTTCAGAAACACCTGCGGCGCCTGGGCCTGCGGGACTTCCCCTGCGGCCTGGGCAGCTGGGTAGGGGCTGGGGGGCACGGCTGTGGGACAGGGAGCATCTGGAGGGGTTCTGCAAGGCGCTAACTGTTTCTCCACTCTCTGCAGAACAAGTCCCGCTTTGTCACGTATGCAGGCTCCTCAGGGCAGGAGGAGGAGAGGCTGCTGGGTGAGGAGAGCCCTGAGGCGCTGCTGGAGCTGCTGCAGGACCCGCGCAGCCCCTGGACCCTGCCACCAGGCTGCAGCCCCCAGGACCAGCGCCTGCGCCGTGTGGCAGTGCTGGCTCCCCAGCTCACCTGCGGCACCCGTGTTCTCCGGCTCTTCAGGTCCCTGCGGATTGTTGGCAAGGATGTAAGTACAGCGGGATGGCAGATAGGGATGGGCTGGTGCACACAGCACTGCCTGTCTCCAGGCCAGGAAGCCGTGTCTTCCTACTGAAAGGGAAACCATCTTGGGAAAAACAGTTTCCCCAACCCAGGGTCTCCCCAGATTCTTTTATTGCAGCTGGAGTAGAGCTTCTGGCTTCCCTGCTCAGTTTGTTATGCACTAACCTGTGTTACACACTTGTGTGGATCAGCACTACGTATCTGTCAGTTCAGCTTAGGTGGCATGAGATGTCTCTGGGACACTGCGGCCAAACCTAGCTCTTTGCAGGTGGAGGAAGTCGATGAGGGACTGTTGCAGTTACAGCACCTGGAAGAGCTCATACTCTGTGCCAACCAGATCAGCAGGATCACCTCAGCCAACCTGCCCCGAACACTGAAGGTGAGCAAGCAGTGCCTTGTGATGGTGGGATGGGGAGAAGGGTCCCACCTGGGAATGCCACACAAGTTGAGCAGCTCAAGACAGATCGTTCCAAAGGGTGTTTGTTGTTCAATCTATTCTGGGCAGGTCCTGGAGCTCTGCTGCAATGCCGTATCTGATCTGCAGGGTCTGTGTGCTCAACCTCCTCCAGAGCTGCAGCACTTGGGGCTGGGATACAACAGGCTGCATGGCCCTTTGCAAGACAAACACCTCACTGCAGACTTCTGGTAATGCCACAGCCAGATGTGTGCTCCTGAAGGCATGTGAGCAGATGTGAACGGATGACCTCCAGCCATTCAGGGGCCTGCATTAAGAAATTACAGCCCCTCAGCACCCTGTTCGGCGCAGTTCCTATGTTTCTATGCATTTCCTTTTTCCCATGCTCTTCCCAAAGGCCCTGCTGGGAGTCCTCCCTGAGGAAGGGCCTAAAACTTAGGCTGTATCACTGACGGATGTGGTGGGGTGGTTAATGGATGCTAGAGTAAAAAGAGGCTTAATTATGGGGCAGACTGGCAGTGGATTGTGTGGCTCAGGAATTTGGAATTGGCTACTGGTGCATTCTCCAGTTTGATTCAGTTTGTGCCACTGCAGGTTCTTACGCGGAGGAATCACAATTTCTGTTTCTTTTCTTGATCCTCAGAGGGGTGTTGTTTGCCTACCCTCATTAATGGATTTTCTCCCTCAGGCCAAATCTCATCTCGCTTGACCTGAGCTTTAATAATCTAACGGATCTGTTTGGGCTGGTCTCCCAGCTGTCCAGTCTGAAGAAGCTCCGCACCCTGCTGCTCCAAGGGAACCCACTGGCTCTCATTCCCGCTTACAGAGGCTTCGTTGTGGACAGCCTGCCTAAGCTTTCCTTCCTTGATGACATCCACATAGGGCTCGACGAGAGGTACCAGTTCCGTGGCTTATCGAAGCAGCCAGGTGAGCCTTTGTCTTAAACCTACTGGTGCTGAACCCAACATTCAGGAAGTGGCTTCATCATGGTGGAGCTAGGAGACCTCAGGACTTACTGCATCCAGGATTGCCTGTCTTCAAAAGATCTTTCTCTGAGTCTTTTTTTTACCCCATCAGTGCAATGAAGGCAGCAATGCTGCAAATGTAGCAAAAGACAGTGAGAATCAGTTATCTGCTATCTGAAACGTACAAAGTACAAGATTAAAAAAGTTTTCATGCTAATTGTGTGACAGGAAGATAAGTGAGGGTTGTGTGAACCATTACTACGTTGGATCAAAATCTGCCCTGGTTTGTGCATCCAGGATCCTCGCAATCCAGGGATTTGGCACGTGTGTCTCATTGTGGAAAGCTCAGCAAGAAGGGGATGGCTGTGGGCAGGGTCTCTATCCCAGCTGATTCCCTCTGGTTCTTCTGGCCCTGCAGAGAAGAGGCTGGAGGAGGAAGTCTGTCATAAGGAAGTGCTCACCCAAGGCTGGTCTGGAGCAGGGTGTGAACAATCCAGTCTGGTTTCTGTAGCACTTGCTCAGTGTCATTGCCTGCCCCTGTCTTTGCTTTCTAGACCTGTCTGGTTTCACACTGTGTGTTTCCTTCTTGAGCTACTGAAAGAACATCTGGGAATGTGCTCTCGTGTTGCACTGCCAGCACAAATCGGTGCCACCTTTGCATGCGGCAAATCCCAGGCAGGGGCAAGGGCAGGGGGCTTCAGTGGGTGGGAAGGCCTTGATGGCCCCCCACTTGATGATGTTATGCACTGGTAGTGCCTTATTGAGTCAAAAATGTTAAACAAGAGCCAAAGCACTGAGCCAGATGTTGTGTGTGGCTTTGGAGTGACCTCATGTGGCTGTGGCTTGTCACAGCGTTTGCAAAGGAAGGCAGGGAGTTACGCTAGGCAGTAGGATTTGACATCCTGGATGTTTCTGCTTGTTCTGTGCTTTTCTTCCTCCTAAGCAGGGTTCTTTTCCCTTCAGAGCTGATAAAAAATGAAGCACGAGTGGTTGTGAGCATTGGGAAAATCAAGGGAGTTCCTGATCCTAGCACACTCCAGGAGCTGGAGATTGGGTCTGAGGCACCAGTGATCACCTACAGCTTCTGTGTGACCTACGAGTTTGCAGCAGAGGAGACTGAGGATGGTGGCACTGAGGTTGGTGCTTAACTGAGCTCCTGAAAGCAATAGGCACTGGCAGGCCACGGTGGTGGGCATCTCCAGAATGCAGAGCGAGACCATTCATAATGAACTACCATGGGCAACTGTGGTGCTAAGAACAGAATTCACACCTGGCCACATCCAGCAGCACCAGTCTATGCTGACCACGTTCCCTGTCCTTCCTGGGGAGCACTGTTCTGCACATGGAAGAGCATTTACAGCTCTCCTACTGCTGGGTGCTGCAGACCACTCTCCGATACTGGTGCCACTGTGCAGCTCACCTTTCTCTGCCCTTTCTCCTGGTGGCTGGAATGGGCTGGGGAATGGAATTTCAGAGGCATGCTGTCTTTGAGCCTGATGCAAGCACAACCAGACAAGCTCTGCCAAGAGGGAACATCTCTGTTCCAGGTAAAAATTCATCAGAGTCCTGTGGTGGCCACTCTGGATGTGGACAACTCTGCATGGGACTTGAGGGAAACAAAGGGCCAGCAGGAGTGTGCAGCCATGGAGGACCCTGCTGCACATACTGGTAATGAGGAATTGCAAATCCTACATCCCCTGGCCAGGGTAGTTTATGGTTTTTCTAGAAATGTGGCCTCAGTGCATCCCTTGTGGCATCAGCCACAGCTAGGCTGTTACTGAGGTTGGTGGATAATGAATTGGCATTGGTGTTGTCCTGGAGCCATTCCTGTCCTCAGGAAGTAAAGGTCTCTCTTAAAAAATCTTTGTCTTTGCACAGCAAAGGTGTTTGTCACCCCTGGAGAACCCTGGGCAGAAACAATTGACTGCAGCTACAGAAAAGAGCACACTGCCAAGGATTTAGTGGGGCTGAAGGACTACCTGCAAACTGGAACGATTGTCTCGATAGTGGAGGAGAAGGTGGGCACGTGGAAGGTCTGGTGAGAGGGGCAGGGAGGAGAAATTGCTGCCGGGGGAACCGGCAGTGGCATTAGAAGGCAGACTGGACTCCCTCTAGGAGGCAGCATTGTGCAGTCCTGCAGAACCTCTCTCTGGCAGGTGCTCTGGTGGCCCGTCAGTGCTGACTCCGAGGAAAATGCAGTAAAAAGTGGGAAGGAAAAACGGGAGCTAAAGAAGGACAGAGCCAAGGTAGGATGCTGGGAGGGAGCAATGTCCAAATACCATCTGACCTGTAGGAATAGCGATGAGGGAAGGACAGACCTTCTCCTGTGTCGGTTTTGGGTGGGATGGTTTTCCTCCATCCTATACCTCTAGCCAAGGTTTCTTGTGCTATGGAAAGAAGGCAGCAACTAGTAGTATGCATTTTGGATGTAGATATGTGGGCTAAGGGCTGGGATGGAATTGCTTTTTGTCTGATAAAGAGACCCAATGCTCAGCTGACACTTGTGCCTGTACTGGTGCCCTGCAGGGTCCTGGTCCCAGAGACAAGCAGAAGAAAAAGAAGAAGAAGGAGAAGCCACGTGAGCTTCGCAGTGACCCACCCATTCAGAGGATCCTGGGCTCTGAGAGGGTGGCCCTGGATACCTTGCTGGCCACTGAGACAGTGATGGCAACTGTGTGTGACTTCGGGATCCTTATCACCGAGCAGCTGCTGCAGTCACCGAGTCAGGAGGAGAAGCTGGTAAGGAGCTGTCCTAGGGGGCAGGGAGACGTGGCTGAGGAAGGGGCTCAGCACATCCTGCCCTGCAGCATCCTCACATCCATCCCTCAGCTCCCTTCTCCATGAAATCCTCCTGAAATAACCTTGCTGGAAAAACACCTATCTATATAGGCATTGTTATTTAACGTTATATTAGCAGTAAGTACTATTATTTTTCATGGGCCTGTGTTAAGAAAACAGATGACTCTATTTTTCCATCCAAAATGAAAGCTTTTGCTTCTTCCGATGCTCTTTCTCTCAAAACAACAACACACAGCAGCTGTTCTGAGACTTGCTGTTTCCTGGAGCCCCTTCTCTTCTCCAAGCATCTCTTCTGCTATGTTCCTGCTTCGTCATGCCTTTCTTCAGCCGTTTGAATGCCGGTGACAGAACCCAAGCAGCAATGGCTGTCACAAGATTGAATGAGGGCAGCGAATTTCGACACCGCCTGACTGTGGAAATGTCTGTCTCCACAGGACAAGAAAAAAGGCAAAGCCAAGAGCAAAAAAACAAAAGCAAAGAAGGAAAGCAAGAAAGCCACAGCGCCTGCCAAAGGTGACCGAGGGCTGGCTGAGCAGAGCAGTATGTGTGAGCAAACAGCAGCAGTGCCCAGTCCTGCAGCCAGCTCTGCGGAGCTGGGCACTAACTCATGTCCTGAGCCCTGGCTGTGAATGCTGCCATTGATGCTGTGGGACAGGAGGGTTAGGCACACACCCGGGGACCTTGTTGTGTCTGGGCATGCACTGAGGGTGGGCTGCTGGCCTGCGTCCTGGGACCAATGAACACTCATGGCTCCGTGAGCCAGGGAACAGGGCAAGGCATGTTGTGGGGTGAGACATTTGCTGCCTGTTATTTCAGCTGCCAAAAGCAGCCAGTGGCCTGGAGTGGTGCGGGCTGCTGGAGGGGTGATGTCTGGGATACACAATCAGGTCCTCATCCATTCCCAACTTATGTCTCAGAACACTTTGCAAAGAGGATTATTGTTCTTTCTAGTTGAGAGACGAAATGCACAGAGAGCCCTGGGTGCCGTGGCCTGGCCAGGAATAGACTCCACTCTGCTGTCACACTCAAAGAGGCAACCCGTCCCCTGCTCCTTGGTGCAGAGCTCATGGTTGTTCTGTCACCAACATTGCCTGGGCTGCTGGATATAGACCTCGCTCTGCCTCTTGCAGGGATTTATTTTTTTGCTACAGAAACAGCAGCACCAGCACACCTGTGCAGGAGCAGGAGGAATTTTGAGAAGGATGAGATGGCTGAGAGAGATGCTGAGAAGTCGCTCGTGGGTCAAGGAGGGCTGCCTAAAAGAAGATTAAACCCCTTGAATCATCACTGTGCTGGTTCCCCATCATGCAGTGCTCATTTGCAATATGTGCTCAAATTGCAGCTGAAGTAGTGAGATGCTATCATGCGACCGATGCTTTTTTCTTCTGTTCCACATGAGTGCCTGTGTTGTGTGCATGCAGCAGCCCTTCCTTCTAGCTTGAGGAACAAACCCTTTGTGTTGGGGGTTGCATGGCCAGCACAGAGAGCAGCTGCTGATACAGGAAACACCGAGTGGTCAGACTCCAGGTTAATTTGGAGTCACAGTTCCCTGGTGCAGGTTGGCGATAGCCACTGAGTGCATTTTTCAGAGTGCCTCAAAATCTGTTGAACCCGCAGCTCAATACCCCAGTGCTGACGGCCCCGTGGCTGTGAGCTTTGCTGTGACTCATGCATCACTCCAACCACAAGGCTGTGGGGGCAGGTGGGCTGCTCGGTGTGTTGTGAGTCACCAAACCGCCCCGTGTCCTTTGGTTCCTTTGGTGTTCGTTCCCCACCAAACTGCTGTGGATTAATCACAGAATTGTAGGGGTTGGAAGGGACCTCCAGAGATCATCGAGTCCAACTCCAATCCCCCTGGAAATGCAGCAGCGGGGCACTGGGCAGCCTCCCAGCCCAGAGCTGAGGCTGATTTGCATCCCTCCGCCGGCACATGCACACGAATAATAAATCCTCTTAGGGACGTTGGGATCTCTTCCAGGCAGCTCAAAGAGGGAAGGCAGGGAGCTTTGTCTCGAGCAAACCATTTGCCCGGGCATTGAAGGATGTCTTCGGAAGTAGTCTCACTGTAGGTCTCACTTTAACCCATGGAATGATTTAGTCCCATCTCTCTTTTTTTCTTAGAAATTACAGAGCGATTTTTGCAACAAAAAGCAAAATTGCAGGCAGATTGATTGCCTTCTTAAAGATGCTTATTACGCTAAGTCGTATTCAAATAGCTTTTCCCTCAGGGCCCCGCCGTGAGTGCTAACTTGGTGGGCATACCCCCATGCACACAGCTGCTTTTCAGGCTACAAAGACAGAGACTGATTTACTGCTTTCCACAGGAAAGAAAAAAAACGGACATTCTGCTGAGGAGGAGGAGGAGGGATGTGTGATGCAGCCGGTGCCGCTGACAGTTGAATTCCAGATGCAGCTGCTTCGGTGGCCCGCGGCCGGCACCCAGCAAGGGGAGAGCATGACCGAGGCTGCAGAGAAAGCTCAGTGATGCGTCCGTAGCCAAAGAGCGAGCAGCAGAGGTCAGTGAAATAAAACCCGCAGGGATGCTGCCATGCTGCTAGTCTGGCTGAATCAATGGGGATGGAGGATGGCGTGGGGGCTCCTGCGGGAGCTGCAGGCGGTGGGCGGGGAGGGACGTGGGTGTGAGGCGCGGCTGTGGGGAGGCTGGGGTGCGATCTGCGTTGTGCGGTAGGAGGCTTGAGGTGCAGTGCTGTGTGTGTGCGCGCGAGGATGGGGGCACGGTGTGCGCGTTCATCTGGGCTGCAGCGTGCTGTGTGTGCGGGGATCGGGGCGTTCGGAGGCGGCGGATCCCGGGGCGGGCCGGGGGGCGGATCCTGGGGCGGGCCGGAGCTCCTGGGCTGCTCTGCGCGGCTGCGAGCGGAAAGCGGGCGTGCGATTCTCAGTGAGTGTCGGTGCGGCTGCGGGACGGGCCGGGGCGGACCGAGCAGAGCCGAGGGCGAGCAGCGCGCCGCGGCTCCCAGCCGAGCCGTGCTCTCCCTGACCAACAGCTCCGGAGCCCGGCTCCCCGCTCGTGTCCTGGCCGGCAGCGCCTCGCTGCTGCTGCCCCTGCTCCGAATCCGCAGTAAGACCCAGAAAATTCGGGATGGGAACGGTGGGGAGTGGTCCCTGCGGCACCGGCTGTGCATTTCAGCGTTTCGCTGTCCTTTGCTGGGATCGTGTGCTCCGCTCCGCCTGCGGAGGGCTGCGGCTGCAGGCATGGGTGCTCTAGGATGGGAAATGGAAAGTGTAAGTTGGCTCGGTTTCACTGTTAAATGCTTCTCTCTCCTCACTCGGACAGGGCCTGCATTCTGCACCAGAGGTTGCTATGTATCCCAGGATTAAAAGCCTTGCACTTTCTGCCTTTTCAGTCACGCTGCTGGCATCTCTTTTTTACATCAGGAGAGAAACTAAGCTGCTAACGTCACCAGAGGACCAGAAGGTGGATGTAGCAGATCCCAAGCCTTTGGTTTTGGGCAATGCTGAACCCAGCAACTGTTTGCCTGACTTGGCCGTTGCCAATTCTTCTGTCTCCCTCCCAGAGCTTCACCGCGTCTTCCTGACTTACAGGCACTGCCGAAACTTCTCCATCCTGCTGAAGCCTTCCAGGTGTAGCCAAGAGACCTTCCTCCTGCTGGCCATCAAGTCTGCCCCAGTCAATATAGAACGGCGGGTGGCAATCAGGAACACGTGGGGCAAGGAGGTCTCCATCGGCGGCAGGCGCGTCAGGCTGGTGTTCCTTCTGGGGCGCTCGGAGGCCAAAAACCAGGTGCAGCCACTGCGCCAGCTGCTGGCTTATGAGAGCCAAGAGTTTGATGACATCGTGCAGTGGGATTTTGTTGACAACTTCTTCAATTTGACCCTCAAGGAGCTGCATTTCCTCCGCTGGTTCGTGGAGGACTGTCTGAAGGCCAGGTTTGTGCTGAAGGGCGACGATGATGTCTTTGTCAACACTTACAATATTGTGGAGTTTCTCCGGGATTTGAAACCTGAACAGGATCTGTTTGTTGGAGATGTGATCGCTAACGCCCGGCCCATCAGGAACACAAAAATCAAGTACTTTGTTCCCGAGTCCATGTACAGAGCTTCCTTCTACCCTCTGTATGCAGGCGGAGGGGGCTACGTGATGTCCAGAACGACAGTACAACGCCTCCAGAGCACCGCAGAGGGCGTGGAGCTCTTCCCCATAGATGATGTCTTTGTGGGAATGTGTCTGGCAAAGATGGCAGTGGTCCCAATGAACCATGCTGGCTTTAAGACTTTTGGGATCCAGAGACCTTTTAATCCTTTCGATCCGTGCTTGTACAAGGAACTGATGGTTGTGCACAAACTAAACCCAACCGAGATGTGGATCATGTGGACGCTGGTGAAGGATGACAGCATTAGGTGTGCGGTGTCAGTAACACACTCCTACAGAAGGGGCTGGAAGTGAAGCTACAGCTGAGCACAGCGGCAGCTGGCTGTTGACAGATACAGGGTACTTAAACTAAAAATCAGGTTGTGGTAGAAGTGTTTTCTACTAACAGGTTATACTTGAGCCACGGGGTTTTGTTTTGCAGTTGGTCTTTTTCTGTCAGTGGGTTACTGAGGTGGTTGAATTGTCATGGGAAGGGCTCATAGGTTGGAGATGCAGCACAGGAACTTGGCTTGCTTCCGCCTGGCCGTGCTGGAACCTGGGTGAGCCACAGCTGCCACAGGTGACGTGAATGAAGTGCCACCTCCACTGGAGGCTCGCAACACTGAGACTGGTGTCTAATTTGTTCTCTTGTAGGGAAGCTCGTGATGACTAATGAGTGAGTGTACTTGAAATTAATCTTTTGAAATCAAGGCAAGGGTAGAACAGAGGCCAGCGTATGCTGCTGTGTGCACTGCAGTGCAAATCTACTGTCCCAGATCAGCAATCCTGCAGGTCCTACAGGACAGCAGGAGAAAGGGAAAGGAGTGGGAAAAGGAAAGCAAGGCTTGGAAACATTTTGCCTTAACACAGCACAGTGATCACCCAGTGATGTGAGGGACTGGGCTCCAACTCGAGCCGTTTGATGTTACAGAAGTTAATTTCAGGCTGACTTGCACTGGAAGCTTTTGCACACTTTCTGATTGGGTTTCAGAGAAGTGTGTCCTGAGTGGTAGTAAAGCACAGTGGCTGCAGCTTTTCAGGCTGTGTGGGAGGTGTTTGGGATTTATTTGGTTTGTTTGGTTCTGTAATGTTGAATATAAATAAAATACAGTTTTGAAAATGTTTTTATGGGAATATTCGCGTGTCTCCTGAAAGCTGAAAGAACTACAAGGAAAAAGAGGCTGACATCTGGCAGTGGGTATGTGCAGGAAGGAGCCATCAATATTAAAGAGAATGGGGTTATGTGGAAATGGAAACTTGCCACATCCTCCTCTGTTCTCACCCCCCCCAGTCCAGACATGATGTACAAATATGGAATCAGCAACTCAGCTGAGTGCTCTGAGTAATTAATCTGAGAAATGATTAAATTGAAGCTAAGTCTTGCTTATACTTCTATGAAGCTTCTCAGCTCTAGGGTGTCGTGCTGTGTGTGAGCTGGCAGTGACCTGGAAGCTTTAGAAAAAATCTAAGGAAAAAGAGGAAGTGTACAATTACAGAAATCAGAGTGTTTTGTGTTGTGCAGCTCATAGCTGTCTTGTGTTCACTGTCACCAGATGTGAGCTGGAGTTTTCAGAGCTGCCTGGGTAGTGCTACAAGGAGGAATTCCTTGTTTATGCTCCTTAGAGACCTGAAGACACCCCTAGCCCAGAGATGTGACATGCATCCTGTGGAGGCTGGCTGCCAGTGTGGGGTGCAATGCTGTTAGTTCTTGCTTAATAGTGTATTTTCTTTGCTGCCTTAGCTTCTTAAAGCACCAGGTGTAGTTTTAATTTAGCTTACTGTGTGACCCAGGCTCTTACAGCATGAGTTGCCACCCCAGTGTAAGCTGCTTCTGCTAGGTGTCAGTAGGTGTGTCTGAGGAAATCAAGGGCGACCTGTGTCCATCCTCAGCAAGCTCTTGAACAAGCTGCTAGCATATTTCTCACTGCAGCCTGAGCAGTATTGTCTGAGATGCTGTCTACAAGTAGCTTCAGATTAATTGGCTTTGTAAACAAGGTTGAGTATCAGGCAGCAAAACTTGGTTTCTCAGCACTGTTTTCTGTGTACTGCTTGTTCCAGAGAAGGGATGTGACAGAGCAGTTTGGTATGATGTGAACTGCTGTGGCAGCTTTTTTCTGTTCCCCTAAATGATTCCAAACGCAAACTCAGTAACATCATGCAGTGAGTGATGTTGTGGCTCTTCTGGGCTTAAGTGCGTTGGTTAATTCCTGATGTGTAACTCACTTCTCACTGAAGGTTTGGGGCTTTTTCCACTCCATTTTGGAGGTAATGTCAAGCCGCTCATGAATCTGTTTCTCTTTCTGATTTGAGCTGACTTGCTACTTCCACATCCGCAAGTCTGAGGTGCATAAAGTCTGGGTCATACTGTAAAACAAGAAGTGGGCAAGAGGGGGTGGGGCAGGCTCTGCAAGGGGAGGAATAGGTGGGAGTTTTTCCAGCTCCTGGGTTGATGTTCATCTCCCTTAAGCCAAACCCCTGCGGAAGTATCAGAGTTACTGCAGCATCCTGACTGCTACACAACCTGCACACACGTTTCAGGCAGTGGTTTGGCAGTTCTTAAACTGCTCCACAGAGCAAATAAGAGCAGCTGTGGTTAGAAGGCTGACCTGAAGCCGCAGTTAGCTCTTAAGGGTGTGACTGTGTCACATTTACAACTGATAGTCTCAAGGTATTAGGGATCTTCCAAATGCTCAGCCCTGAGCCTCCTTTGGGACCCTCTGCCTACTGGCACAGCAGACATCAGCATTTTCCTAGGAGCTTTGATTCCAAACTCTACCATCCTCCTTAGATACTGCAGCATCCAGTCAGGAGCAGGAGCAAAGAAAGGGTGGTTGTTTTGTTTGTTTGTTTTTAAAAACTCTTTTACCTTTTAATCTGTAAGTGTACAATGGTGTGCAGCTGAGATTGCAGTTGTTCAAAGGCAGACAAAATGAGACAAAGGCTCATGTTACAGCTGAAAAAATACCTCATCAAGAACTCAGTTTAGTAACAGCAACCTCAACACAGATGTAGTGCATCTGATGTTAACGTGCAGTGCAAAATCTTAGGATTGTATGCCTTCTCAGAAAAACTGATGAATGGGGATTAACTGAGTCCAATCAACACTGATAAAGTTCTATCTCATCAACGCTATTCTACACAGCAATCTCAGCTGAAGTTTTATTGTTTGTACAGTTAACACTGCAAATTTCACGTTGAGCTGTTAAGTTAGAAAATGAACACAACGGAAGATACCTGTGGTTTTGAAGTCTGTAGTGAAACACTAAGATCACAGAAAGAGAGAATGAAGATTATTTTTTTGACACTTTTGCTGGAAAGCACTCAAATATGTAAAACTCACTTTTGTTGACTGCTTTGTAAAATCTGCAGCAGTTTCCACAACTACTTTATAACCACAATGCCGTGAAAATCAAATCTCTTCCTTCCTGGGGAAGGCAGATACATTACAAGTACTGGCTCCTGGGTGAAAGAGGCTGTCATACTGAATTGTGCAAAACTTCTCTAAGAGGAACTTGGGTAACTCCATAGCAGGTTTTCAGCTCTACAGCAAACAATTCCCCTGACTGCAATTAAGTGCAATTAGATATAGCTATCAGACTCAACTCTGTTACAAGCTTTTAAGTCAAAACTGAAAACAGCACTTAATCTTTTACCTATGGTAACATTTGGAATGAAATGAATTTGCCCAATTTAATAGAGATATCTACTAACAGACATCATTTACTATACAGGTTAAAACCAGTAACTTTTAAATACACTTCTTTGGTTGATACCTACTTAGGCTCTATGTTAGAGAGCTCTCACAAACATACCAAACCACTGCTAGGATCTTCCCAGCAGACAAAATTAACAAGCTATCGTTGATAGCAATTTACACATTTGCATAGTTAAACACTTAAATAACTGAATCCATAATTATAAACACAGTCAAGGCCTTTCAGATTCTTGGAATTGTCTTGATCCGTCAAGCAAGCCTATCTGAGGGTAAGGGGTGGAAATGGAATCACAGGCTTATTTCAGAGGTTTCCTGCTATCCAACACTTAGAAGTTTGGAACCCTTCAATTTCTGATTGATTCTCACATATTCTAAAATGACACTTAAGTTCATGTCAGTCTTCCCGAAGATAAGGGTCCTCACCTGCATCTGTACTTCCTAAAGTACCCTGAGGCAACGAAGATTCCTCTCCTTGGGCTTTCAGGAGCTCCTCTGTTTGAGCTTCAGCTAACTTGGTCTCTGCCTTCTGGGACAGCTGCCGTACTTCTTGCACCTGTGATTTGATTAGCTGGATGTGGCTTTGAGCTGTCACCGAGGCTTGATCTGCACCTGAAAAGCAGTCATTTAAATATATAGGGTTAGAAGAGAACTGAGCAAACCTTCAATTAAGGAAGAAAATGTCTGTAGTTCTCACCTGCTTTGCTAAGTGTTTTGATGGTTCTTGGGCTATATTAATGCTAAACGCATTTACTGTTGATTTACCTTAACCAATACCCTACGTGAAGATTTTTGTGCCCTCCTAATTCTTCCCTCCCAGCCAGCTTTCAACCAGGATCCAATCAGGCTGATCAGCTTGTGCTGCCGGGCTTGAAAACGAAGCCCTGCCCACTCACTGCCGCAGGCACTTTTGGTTCTTGTGCAGTAGTTGAACCGACCATCATCTGAGACCCTGCTGAACGTGGAAACTCTATGCTCCTACAGATTCTACATCTTTTTCAAGCTTCATCAGGAAATCGCACCTACACAGGTAGGCTGTCCCGATGTATTTACTGTTTTCCTTCTTTCTCTGCCCCAATATTTTCTGATCTGCCCTAAGTCAGTCCATAGCTCAATCTCAGAGCTATCAAGTCTCTGCACACTTTTGTGAAAGCTTTTATGTAGGGAGAAAACAAAATTTGTATCATAACTGAGTGAAAGGTAAATATTTTCACTCTTCAGTAAAAGAGGATCTAGCTAGGGGCACCAGCTAGGCTCCAGGCATTGAAGCACGTTTGAGCACTGCATTTGAAAATAACACTTTGTCAAATATTTTCTGGCATGGTTCCTATCAATATAAACAATATATGAAGTTTCCAGCCCTGGTTCCCAGGACATCTGTACTAGAGCTGTAGCCAACAAAATAAGTTCTTAGCACTGCTAACAACCAGCATTAATTCTAAATTGGTACATTATTGGAATTTATATTCCCTCTCTTTCCCAACTCCATTCTCATAGAATAAATACTGCCTACATGTTAAGTGAAAGATTCTCAGTATTTCTGCTTGAGCATACCTGACTGATACGCAGCTTCTGCTGCCATCTCTGAAAGACGTAATGCTGTCATCCAGCTGGATTCTAGCTTTAGGTATTCTTGCTGTTTTGTTGTCATCTAGGAGTAAAATGATTATCCAATTTGATATGAGAATATCTGAATGCTGTTCCAAACAGTACCTCTGTGAAAAGGTGAGCAAGTGACAGTACAGCTTTCTGAGAAAAGCTGAAGAGGCAAATTGCTGACTGTGATACAAGTTGCAGCTAGGTAAGTTCCTCAAAGGACAACCTTGTAGTTTGTTTAGAAAATGGGAAGGGTCTGTGTCTTTGTATGGAACGGATAAGGCATGTGCCAGGAGACTTTGTATGGAATAGTTAGGGGAGGTTCCACCAGACACTGTGTTTGAACAGATACGGTTCCAGGACTCTTTGCATTGAATATGCATGCCCCTCCAGGAAGACCTCTGAACGTGTATCAACTGAAGGCCTTTTTGTGCAACATATGGAGGGATAGTATCTGCCACGCACCCAGTGCTGTTAGTAAAGAATTCCTACTTTGTAACACTCCAACTTAAGACTTAGAGAGTTTCCTGATTGACTGTTTTGCGGTAACAACTGAAGGGAGATGAAGGCTTACATCAACTCTGGCTCCTATTACCACCTGCCAGACTGCATCCACTTCGTCTGAGTTCATCTTCCCAAGAAGATTTGTGTATTGCTTGTAGAGAGACACCAACGTATAAACTGCCTGCAAAGGGATCGTTTCACACAGTTACGTGAAAATCTATAGATGTTGGCTCACTGTTAGCTGGTGTTAATGAGTCATAGAAAGCAAAAGAACTAACCTGGCTGTATTTAATCTCCAGTATATGCAGTGGGTAACAAAATCGTTGAATACTTCCCAAGGTGCTTTGCTCTTAAGTTTGCTGTTAAACATGTTGAAAAAAGCAAGGAGTATACTCTGACTCGAGCACCAGAACTTTGATGCTCCAAGATTGCACATCATCATGGGCTTCTTGGGATTCAAAGCATGCAACCACTGATTTCCTACTCTGAAAGCCCACTGCTTCCTACCTATGCTAGAACAGTTCCTTGTAGTACCACAGAAATATATTTGTACTGGGAAAAACAGAAATATGTAAAAGTACATTAGCCCATGGAAATTTTGGAGATACCGATACAATTTGCTGTCTGCCTACCACAGGGCCAAAGTACTATTCTTCATATACTTGCCATAGCAATGAGGCAATAATACTTGTGAAATTGATAAGGAAGGAATGCAAATACTCCTTTCAAATTAGCACTTCTTTCTAAAATTAAAATTGTATCTTGTTGTTTCAAGTTTAAGTATGGCTTATTCCATTCTTCTGATGAAACTCAAATTTATGGACCTAGAAATAGGCACAGAGAGTAAATAAAATATAGGGCAGCATATCCTACGTACTCAATGTGCACAAATCTGATAGCTGCCCTTCTGTTCTGCTCCAAGTAACTGGTCTGATTTTCTTCAGCCCCAGTTCTGAAACACAAGTCCCTTCAACTTAAGTTCAAGATCAGAGGACAGGTCTAACAAACCTAAAAATAACTTTAACATTTAGTGTAGTAAGACAATAGTGAGAGCCACTCCAGAATTTCCCAGGGACCCGAAAATCAAAGTGCATAATCTCTCATCTTACCTTTGTATACTCTGTCAGTGCTTCAATCAGTGCGTATGTTGTTTGAGAGAGGAGAGTGGAAGTACTGTCTGTTACCAAACAAACGGCTCTCTTAATCAAGGCGTCGTTACTGAGAGAAGCTGAGTTCTGTTTCTGAAATACAACAAGTTTGCATTATCATTACACTGACTTCCATTTATACATTATTGGTAACTAATAATGATAAGAAAAAGCACCACTGCTAATCACAAGGCTGGACAGCCCAGAGCAAAATACTAGTACGAATTTCTCTGTAAAACAAGGCCTTATTTTTTTTTCCTGCAGATTTGTTACTGAAGGTAAACACTGTCTTTCTCATTTCTTTAGCAACTGCAAGGCATCAACAGCTGTGATCCCTAAGGCAGAACCAAGAAGGTACAAAGGAAAGCGTAAGTACCAGCTTATAAAACGCTAAGTTTTTGAGTATTTGGGACATAAAAGGAAGGCTTTCTAACACGCAGGGCCGCACGTCCGTCACCGGAGCTCCCTTACCTCCACGACCGGGACAGCACACAGCGCAGCTCCCAGCCCTGCGCCCACCGCGCCGTGCCACCGCCCGGCCCCACCAGGAAGGCAGCGCCTGCTGCTGCTGGCCAGCGCGGGGCGGCCGAGCCTGGAGTGCGAGAAACAGAGCGAGCGGTTACAGCAATTACAGCAATAACAGAGCAGGGACGATCTGCAGCAGCTGGATGCGTGACCCATAACGGTGCTGCAACCACAGCCGATGGGCACGCCGGTTATCGTCACGATGCTGAGGTATGAAGGCAAGAAACAGCAGCTGGGCACAGCGACTGTTTGTCTCACCGGGTGCCAACGCATCGCTAACACTGGGCAACACCGACAATCAAGGTCTAAAGCGTGTTTAAAAGCGGAATTATTTCCCTTTATTTTCTGAAAATAACCGGTCGGTTTTCCTCCCACGCTGCATGCTCCTAACCCAGGTGGGCACCGCCGCCCCAGCCCGGCCGCCCGTAAGCGCGGTACCTCAGTAGAGACCGCCAACCGCGCAGCCAGAAGGACCGCGCCGCCATCTTGGGAGTGGGCGGTACTCCGGAAGTGACGTCACGCTGGGGGGTTGGTGGTCCGGAACGGCGCGTGCGCGGAGGGCGGGCACGTGGGGAGGGCGCGAGGTGCCGTCATGGGGTAACGGTCGCTGTGTGGCGACCAGCGGTCCTCGGCGCCGCGCGGGAACGTTCCCGCCGCGCTCAGCCCTCGCGGTTCGCACACGCTCGGCTCCCTCCCGCTCTGGTCCATTTCATCTTTACTTTTCCAGAGTATGTGGTACTGCTTTGTCTCTGGCTAGATCTACAGCTGTGGTAATCCCCAGTGTTTCCAGTTAAGGTTTCCTATACAGTCACACGTGAAAGGCCTAATAAGATCAATTAATTCTGTTTGCACTGCGTATACCAGGAATTCCCATCTGTTCTCTGTGAGACTCAGCTGACATAGTCCAGTTTTAGCAAGGTAGGGCTGCAGCTCTGCCACATCCTAAAGCTTCCCCTGTATTTTAAGTATTTACTGAAAATCGCTGAGCTTTAGAATGCCAAATGGCAGCACTGTAGATACGTGGTTTTGCTGCTCTCCCTCAGTGTACCTCACAGAACTGTAGGAAGCTTTGTGCAGGATTGCTGCATCCCTCCCTTCCTTTCCTGTGGGTCCCTGGGGTGAGGAGAGAATCCCTGGGCAAAGCTGCTGGGAAGGCAATGCCTGGGAGGCAACAGAACTGGAAAGAGCAACACAGAATGGTGCATTCATGTAGATGGTATTTCTTTTAATCTTTCTTTTTTACATAAGAAAATAAGATTGTGATGAGGTGGTAAAGGAACAAAATGCTTGCAGAGTTGGTGCAGGAGGAAGGGGCTGCCATCCTGTGCGCTGAGCAGATGTGTGGGACGAGCTGTGCGGTGGAGCCAGGTGCTTCTGGGCAGCCCAGGACTGCAGGAGCAGGGAACAAGTTGTCATTTGAGCACCAAGAAATACGTCGTCCAGCCAGCCAGCAGGAGCGCTCCCACCAGCACGGTGTAGCTGAACAGCACAAACGCCAGCAGCTCCCGCAGCACCTTGAGGAAGTGGATGGCAAAGGAGTCCGGCATCGTTCCCTGCAGCACCGTGGTGCAGGTAGGGTGTCTGGGGATGGCTGCAGCCGTGCTCCTCCCCACTCTGTACAAAGGAAAACCAGAAGGATAGAATGACGTCTTTCCCAGCAGGATGGTGGAGCTTTAGGGAGAAGTGGTTGTGTTCAGGAGAGGTAAAGGCCACCCATCCTTTTACAAAAGTTGTTCATTACTGAAGTGTCACATTAGACTTGTGCAAGCTTGTTCGGGTCTTTGCAGGGTTACCAAGCTGTGCAGTGTTAACAAGGAGTTAGAGATCTGGTCAAAGTCTCTAAATCAGGACTGGTTTTTAAGCAAATTACAGTACAGATGCACATGTGGTGTACTCTATTGTGCAGGCACAGAGCAGTGGCCCCAGTTCAGCTAGATCCCAGTATCCTTCCCCTGTGTCAGTGGCTGTGCATCCAGTAAGCTTCGCATGCCAAGCATTCACTGATGACGTATTACCAACAGTGTGTTCTGATCAAAGTGGTCAATGCCTTCAAGGAAGCCACCATTAATATTTAATGATATAATTGCGTCTTAATGGAGATACTGGCACAAACAGAGCCTTTTGTTTAAGAGAAAAGAAAACTGGGGCTTAAATGCAACTTCGCACAGGCAAATATTTCTATCCATCTCAGCTTAAAAATAACCTTCAAATGGGAGACATGGGGTGAGACGTTACAGAATTCATCTTCTATCTGCACTTTAAAGTTATAGTACATGGTGATTTAGAAGTTGCTTGTTTGTTACTTTAATATAAAATCTGAACATTTCATGAAAGTTGCTGACTCCTTAGATTTAATACGGTGAAAACCTGTCTAAAAAATTCTCCTGTCTCGCTGAGTCACGTTATTTTGGTCAGAGCCGTGCCTGATCTAAGGTATCCACACTCTTGGTCAAGCACATAAATGGAATTTAGAACCAGATTTCAGATAAAGCTAACCTAAAAAGATTCTCATCTTCTAAATAGTCTATAGCCAGCAAAAGCAAATTGAATTCCTGTCCTGCCAATTTGGTACATATTTTTAAGAAGTACTTGTGACGAAAAATCCACGTTTTGATTAAAATTAAGTCACTCTTTTGGTCTTATTGAAGACCAATCAGATGTTTCCTTCCAATCTCAGGTGTATGCATATTACAGGAGTGCTTACATTTTAAAACCAGCTGTGGTTTCCTAGTTGTTCAAAGTTTCCTATTTATAGTCTTTACATGACTTTTAATTGTCTAAAGAAATACTGACAAAGACATAAACTGCTTACCCAGGTAGATGAGGGGATCTGCTTCGACAAGTTCCTGTTTCTCTCTGGTTTTGTTGTGCCGCCGTCCCTTGAATTTCTGGCTTCTGGCTTGTGCTGTAGTTTGATCCCCTTCTGATCTGCTCATCCAGGAGCCAGGAGTAATGAGGTTGTATTTGCAGCCCACGAGGACTAATGCACTAGGTGTGGTCAGGACCAATTATTGTATGACAGAGCGCCTTTGCGGCACAGCAGCACGGAGCTCTGTGAATCGCCCCCCTTCCCCGGAGAGCTTTTGTCGACAGCTTTCTGTGAGTTGAAGCACCAGGCTTTCCCAGTGTTACCAGTCAGAGCCTCCATTTGTTTATATGCTTCTTTTTTTTTTTTTTTTTCCTGTAATGAAGTATTATGTCATCTAATGCTTTTTATGCTGCAGCTCAGATATCTGGAAGGCTCCTGTTCTCTGAGGGCCCGGTGCTTGTGGGGCACTGCAGGAGCAGGATGCTTGCACGTAGCTGGGGGTTGCCCAAGGTCAGCAACACAGGTTAAACTGTGCACACTGAACTGCACCCTGTTATCTAAAAAAGTGAGCGCTGAAAACCGTGTGATCTATGTGTTGATCGCTGCCTCACAGCCTTATCTTCACCCTTACACACACAAAAAGCCCTCCCTGCCTTTGAGAGCAAGATCTACAACTCACTTGTGGCAAAGGGGGTGGGGGGGAGACAGGCAAGATGTAGATTTATTTTTAGCAAAGCTGCATTTTGATAATGCTGTATGAAATGTGAAAGTCTTTCTGAGTGGAGGTTGGGTAATGTTTTCTGTTTTTGCTTGTAAACCAGACAAATGCAGGCAGCAGAGAGAAGGAAGGGTATGTACTGCAAATCAAATCTCTTACCTACAAAGATATTACGATGTAGAAAATGGCCCCTTAATTTAATTAAGCTCTCTTGTTATCAAATTATTACCCGCATGGTCAGCAAGGCCTTGGACAGAAGCAGAACATAATCAAGCTGCTCAGGAAGCCTGTTAAGTAGTAATTGCTCCTCCAGAGAATCGATCAACGTCAGGATGGCTTCTTGTTGTTGACTAGTTGCAGGAAGAGACTTTGTTTAGTTTGTGTAGCCACGTGGCTCTTGCTTGTTGGTGGGGCAGGCAACAGCCTGCGAAAAATATGCATAGTGTCATTGGTAAGTTAAAGTTTACCAAGTATTTGGCACAAAGTATTTTTTTTTTAATGTAAGTAGGTTTTGCTTCTAGTGTTGCTAATGCATTTACAAGTCCAAGTGAAAAGGTAAGCAAGCTGTTGAATTTATGCTTTGTATCCTTTGATTCACTTGTGTTGGCTCACAAAGCAGCCTGAGCAGTGCTAATCATTGCCGTGTGATTAATTTTTGACTGAAATGAGGAAAAAATGGAGTTTTGTTTTTTTTTTTTTGCAACACATTACACATCATGCAGGATAACAGAGCAGAAATGTTTGCTAAGAGAGTGATTTAATGTGGGTTTGTTTTTTTTTTCCATAACTGTGTAATAATGAAATTCAGTGTGAAACAGAGTCCTCAGTGTTTGCTGTGGAGAGCGTGAGTTCAGCGTCAGCAACCAAAGGGAAGGGCAGACAGCAGGGCCTGCTCTGCCTTCCCAGCCACCAGCCATAGCAAAGCACACTCCTGGAGCCAGAAGCTGCCACTTGTGTATGTTGGCTCAGCAGCCCCAGCCCCCAAGACCAAGGAAAATTCCGTTGTAATTTCAGGCTCTGCAACAGCAAGTACCACAGTTTATAAACTGAACACAGGAAAACAAGAAAGGTGTCTGTTTTAAGCCTGCTGCTTACTGGTTTACTGACAGCTATTTTTGGTCTGCGTCCCATGTGAGGAGTGCCTGTGTACCTTCAAACACGTGGCACAGTGATGCAATTCACACTCAGGAGTTGCTTTACAGCCAGGTGGGGGTTATACCTGGCACAAATAATCCACCTCCCACTGAGCCCCTCCCAGAATGGCTGAAGTAAAAGACTGCATTTCCCTAGCAACCTGGCTGCAGTCAGTTGCATCCAGTCTGTGCTGCTGACGTGCATGTGTGTAGTTCAAGATTTAGCTGTTGCTGCCTGTGCAAGAGGAAGTCCAGTGAATGTCCTGGCCAAGCAGCATGCGAGATAGTGGACTTAAATGTGGCCTAGAAGTAGCTAGCCCTAAGAGACAGCGCAGTACGGGTCCCTCACAGCACCAGCTGCTTGAGGGGCACTGAGGATATGCAGCAGCTGAATAGTAGAGAACGCTCTTGAGCAGCTGGGTGCAAAAGGAGCCTGTTACCTAATGCTTTCTGTTACATTTTGCTACTTTGTGAATTGTGCGTCATTGCTTTTTTTGTCCTCAAACTGTACCTAAAGGTTTGCAGCAAAAAAAGTCAGTGCTTCCTCTTTACTGCAGTTATCTTTCCCTTGTACAATCGGTGTTCAAGGATGTGAGAAAACTCAGCTGTGACCTGCAAGCCACAGAGACCAGTGATATGAAATCAGGAACAGATGAGGCCCTGCTTCCTGAGCCTGTTAGGAAGAACAAAACTGAA